TTTTTGACATCTATAATTCTTTACTTTACTCACTTCTTTTGTAAGCACAAACATGTATTTCCAGGGACATTTTTTACTGCATTTGAGGATTTTGGTACTTTTTTAAGAATTTAAATTATATTACTGTTGTTGTCTTTCTAAAAATGCTTTCACCCCAAAAAATTCCCTTTCATGGTTTAGAGTCATGATGTTAAGTTTCAATACAATTGTTTCCATGAGAATACTTTGTATAAGATAATATGGATAAACTAAAGCTGTCTGTGAAAATAATAATGAAAAAATATTCCGAGCACTGGAGGAGATGTTCTTAAAATCCTTTTTCTGACATGGGTTAACTTGAGTTAGCTATGTGCCATGAAAACTGAAAACCAACATGTGACGGGGGAACTTCATCCCTTACCAGAAAATGTTAGACTCCTGATTTTTTATTTTTATATGTAAACATTCTGAAGATTAAAAAAAAATAATAAAAACAAGAGTTAATGGAGTGTTACACAAGCTCTGGCACTTTTTGTGATACATGACTTTTTAGAAAAGCATCATTCAACACGAAGTTCCCTCACCTAGAAAGTGGGAATCAAGCCACTGGCTCCCTGTCCTTCATAACCAATTGCAATTTCAGAAGCCCAACCCTTTGGCAAGGACAAATTCAGGTGTCAGCTCCATGGAGGATTCACTGTTCATTGCTCTGTGAAAAATTCTGAAGGGTAATGCTCCCTAAACTGGGTGAGTTTCCCGAAGCAGTTTCACTGTGGCAGTACAGAGCCTGAGCAGTAGCCTGCACCACAGGGAAAGGAGAACAACATGACAGTTCTGATGCCTTGGATACTGTCACAGACCCAGGGAGGAAACCAGGTGAGTGATGCCATTCCCAAACATCCACTCATGGTGTGCAGTGCACAAACAAGCCCACAGTTATGTCCATAGCTGTCTACAGAACTGAACAAAGGACTCATTGAGCAACAAAAAAAAAAAAAAAAAAAAAAAAAAAAAAAAAAAAAAAAACTGAAAAAGACTACAACAGAATATTCTTGCTAATATGGGCTATATCACATGTAAGATCAGCACAAAACCTTTCTGCAGATCAGCTGCAGTGATTATTTTCAATCTGGCAAGGGAACGTTCTTTGCCTTCTTTTCTCTCTCCCCCATCTCTTAATGCTTTCTCTATTGTCATGGCAAATTTCTAAATTTGCTTGTATTCTGCAGTTAGGTAACACCAGATTTTGAAACTCTGTCTTTCTAAGTATATGTATATAAAATCCTGGTCACCAGGCAAAATTTTATATTAAGTGATGTTAAAATTATGAGATAAAAATAGCTGAAATTTAGAAATTTGGCTAGTGAGGAAGGAGAACCAGTCCCCATGTGGTAAGGTGAAAAGTAGCACCATTAGCCAGGTGATACTAAGGTCTCAGTCAGGTCAGGAAATTTCACCAGAGCCATGATTTTATTTTCCCTTGTCTCTTTTCAAATCCCTCTTTACTATTAGGATAAATAAACAAACACTGAAGAATGAGAGGTCACCCTGCACAATGTACAATTAGCATATTACATGCTGTCATAGTTATTTTCCAAATATTTCAGTGATAGTTTGGGCAAGGAGAGGAAATTAGCAGCACCAATCCAGTCTTTCTGAATTCCATGGACAGGCAGCAGTGCAAGAGAAGATGAGGGGATCAGCCATCTGGGGATCCTCTGCAGTCAATGATATATAAACTGTTTTTGTCTTGACAGTAATGAAAACAAGACAGGGAAGGTACAGATCTTCAGGCTGCATGTGGTGACTAATAAATCAGATGTTGTGGAGCCTGGTTTACTGCAGGAAGGTGAATTTAATGAAAACTTGTGCCTGGCAGGAGGTTCTACAGCTCATGAACAGACTACAGGGAAAATACGCTTCTGGAGAAATGACACAAAAAGGCACTATCCAAGCTTGGCAAATTGACTCTAAAGAGGAAAATAAGTAAGGGTATCTCCGGATCCTAGCATTTCCTGGAGAATTGTTTCTATATCTTAAATTTATATATTTGCACTTTAGGGACAAGGTAAAACTAAGTAAAAACAAAGCAGGCTCATTGTGCCCAGTTTAGGGCATTTGGAAATTTTTCATGTTACATTTTGTGAGCTGACTTTATTTACTTTCAGAATCAAAATATAGTGTTGTCTTACTACAATAACTTGTTACTTGTTTTGAAGAAAACTTGATTTTGAAATTGTGAAAATGAAACTGTAATGTACTTACATACCAAAGGCTATCAGATGAGGATGAAAACAGTTAATATCCTCAGATGGACACCCTCCCCTTCACCACCCCACTTCTCAAAAAGCAAATTATTCTTCATTCTCTGCCCTGTCTCATGGAAAACAAATTAAAACTTTGAAGAAACAGAAGTCTAGCTTATTTGTTCACAGTGTGGGGAAAAAAAAAGAAAAGAAAAAAAGTTTTTTAAAAAAAAGGTAAAAAAAAAATAAATAAGAAAAAAAAATAGAGCATTCCAACAAATGCATACAAGATAACATTGTAGACAAACATTATCCCGGCAAAAGAAGATGCTAAGCCGACAGTAGTTTTAGTTTCAGCAACTAAAAATCTTCACGAGAACAACAGGTATGTCTAACTTTTACTTTGTGGCAGCAAAATTGTCTTGTTCATGGATAATATCCAATGATTTTATAATGAAATTCAAGAGCAAAAAAAATTCCACAGATAGGGCAATAAAAGGCCTGAGTGAAACTTCCATTTTATTAAGTAAAGTTCTCTAAAAAAGGTGGTTTTCCTTTGCAAAATAATGAGAATTTGCCTTGATATCCCCAAGCAAGAGTCTCACCTGAAGTTTCAGCTTCTGAGTCAAAAGATTTCTCCCACCCCACTCACATCTGTCTGGAAAAGACCGAGTGTCCTGCTCTGTACTGCTGCGACTGGGGCTCTTCTGTGAGGAAGGCAAAGTGAACTCATGTCTGCCACATCGTTCCTGTAGCTTCACAAGTTGCTGAATTCTAGAACTTTTTTACTTTATTTGCATTAAAAAATGAGGAAAACAGAATTTTATGCCAATTTTTAATTTCAGGTCAAATGAATATTTGCCTAAGTAGATGTTAGTTTTGTTTTGTTCTGGGTTTTTACAGTATGAACAAAGAAAATAAACTTTCAGATTCAAGCTAAAATTTTGTCTCTTTTCTCAGAAGCTGAAGAGATAAAGAACAACTTGCTTTTTGGGAGGAGGCTGGTGAAGCGAAGGTCTCTTTTCTCAGAAGCTGGAGATAAAGAACAACTTGCTTTTTGGGAGGAGGCTGGTGAAGCGAAGGCTGTCCAAACAGGAGAATTTTCTGCTTTCACAACCCTGATCTGATCACCTTTGCCCAAAGATCAGCTGCAGGATGAGGGCTGATACTTGTTCTGAACTTTGTCATCCCTGTTGACTGAGGTCTGCAGGACCAGCCCTGAGAGGGAGGGTTCCTGCAGCTTCTTGCCCTCTGCTGGGCAGGAAGGCCACCTTTTCAGGAGGGACAGCTCTGAGGCACTTAATGCCACATGTATGGGGGCCAAACCTCCCACATCATCGCACACTTTGAGACACGCCGACTCAATGGACCTCAGCAGAGGCTGCATCCCAAACCCCGCACAGTGTCAGGGCTGGGGCTGGGCTCCAGCCCAGGCACAGCCCTAACATATGGGATAGGTGTATCTGCAGGGTATTCAAAATATCCTGTAATGTACAACTGGATCCCACGTTACCAGCTAAAGTATAACCACACCATATCCTGGCCTGGACAGAAGAGTTGATGCAAATTTTTTCTGTCTTCTGTTGCTCATTCCCAGCCTCACACCATAGGTTGCTTCTCCCTCAGATGTGTTAATATGACCTTTTGCCTTTTTAAGAAATTTACAATAAGTCTGATCACTAAAAAATCTCTATTAAAATCAATCCTTTGGAGAAAAAGATATTTTTAGGAAAAATCCTAGAAGTACATCTATCTAAGCCACAAGAAAAGCCCCTCTCCAGATAGAACCAAACACAAATCATGGCGTTCTTTTTGACGCAAAGACAACTTATGTTGCCAGAATGTGCAAGTTACTTGCCCAATTAAAATAATACAGGTTTCCTTTCAAAACACTGCTGTCACGGATTAGTCACAGGATTGTTTTTGCAGATTGTTTATGCAAAATAACTTCTTAGGTTTAAAACAAACTGTAGTAATATTGGTAATCTTCAATACCGCTGTTCAAATGTCCCAGAAACTCATTAACCAGGAAATCTTTCCCAAGCTTTCACCTTCTGATTTAGAGAAGTACACTTCTGTCTCTGCAATTAACTGAGTAACCGGAAAAAAACAGAGCCACAAAACTTGTAGTGCTACAAACCCCAAAAATAGATTATCAGCAACAAAATAAATACAAGGAGAACTCTGAAAAACACTGATTTTAACACAGGAATACCCTGAACACTGCTTAGCAGTCTAGGAACCAGGAACAAGCTTATGTTTTTGGGGGAGCTAAAGGAAAAAAAGAAAAAAATAATTTAAAAAAAAACCCGAAAACAATTTTCCAGCAGTTCAAAATTTCAAGGTGAATATCATAAAGTACTGCAGGGGATGAACAGCCCAGAAAAGAGGAAGGTTTTTTTATGCTGAACACAACCATTACCAGCTATGCCTCTCTCGGTCCCCAATAAACAGAGGGAAAACAAGACCCGATTCAAAAGTGATCGCGGGAAAACCGGAATCCGGACCTCTGTCTCATCCCATGAACCAGACCTTTCCTTAGCCAGAGGTGGAAGGTCAGGGCTGGCAGGGCGCAGCGTCACGCCCTTCTCCGCTCCTCGCTGCCGGGGGTCGCGTTCCCCAGGGGGCTGCAGAGCAGCATCCCAGGAAGCGGCAGGGGCGTCGCTCAGCCCCGCACGGAGCGGAGCCGGGGGCAGCCGAGCCGCTCTGCCCCGGGCGGGCTGCCGGGGCTGCCGGGGCTGCCGGGGCGGCGGGGGCGCGGCGCGGGATGCTCACCCTGCGGTTGCGGTCGGCCTCCCGCACCTCCTCTTCCTGGGGCCCTTGGCGGATGAGCGCCTTCAGCACGATGCTGTTGTTGGTGCAGCAGGCTCGGAAGAGGCTGAGCGCCTCGGGGCTGTCGCGCTCGTCCCCTTCCAGGGACCAGAGGTCCTCGTCGTCGTCGTCCAGCCCCCTAGGAGGATAGAAGGAGTCGTCTGAGGCGATGCTGCAGGTGTCGGGCAGCTCGGAGAAGTCCTCGTACTCCTCGCAATCCTCCTCCTCCACCTCCTTCTCCTCTTCCTCCTCTTCGTCCGGCTCCTCGGCGGCAGCCTCCGCCGCCCCCTGCTCTGGGCTGCTCTCCGCCTCGGCGCCGGGCATCTCCTTAGCGGCGGCGGGCGCGGGGCAGACCCGCTCCCCGGGCAGCGGCTCGCCGTGCCCCGACAGCAGCACCATGCCGGCGGCGGGGCCGGGACG